TCCCTTCGAATCCTTGCTCATTTTCTTCGTCTGAGGTAATCTTCCTTACTCTCTCCTTTGTCTTCTCGTTTTTATGGCGTTCGGTAATGGCTTGAATTTTGAATGGACTACTTCAGATGACGAGTTGTCATCAAACCCATATTTTAGGACTGGGTCTTATCGACCTTCGTGGTTGGATAATTCTACTCTCATTATGAGAGAGATGTGTGGTCTTCGTGTAAAATATCGCATCCCAGATTCTGTTAGTCTCCGGCTTCCACGTCCTAGCGAAAGCATCGACAGGTCTTCCCCTGCAGAGGTCGTGTTTTATGCGGCAATATTCATATTCGGTATCTGTTTACCTCTTCCTTTATTTCTCCAAAATTTCTAGCTTTTAACCAAGTGGCTATTTCCCAAATTGTTCTTAATGGGTGGTCCATGTTAATCAGTTGCTTCATCTTGTGGTCTTACCTTGGGGGTGACCAGCCTTTGACCGCCGCCACTTTCATGTCGCTTTACTATCTTAAACATAGCCTCGATGACAATTTGCATTTCGAAATCAAGTCCTAATTCTGAGCCCTTCTTCTGTAAAGAACTGGAAGGATGAATGGTTTTTTGTTGGTGGTGACTGGCTAGCTCGTGATGACAATGGGTTGCATTTTTCTGTCCCGACGGAGTGTAGGGAGTTAGGTGAGTAGATTCCAAAGCTCTATCGGGACTTCCTTTCATGTTGTTTTCTGAAAATCCTTTTTCTTTTATTGACAATTTCTTGTAATTGCAAGATTATTGCTGAAGCGCTGAACTTCTACAATATTGTCCTCCAGTTACCGGACACTGAGCGTGGGGTCTTAACTTGGTGAAGGAGCAAAATTTGGTGGATTTTGGTTTGGCACCTCCTCGTCAGACTCCAGGTAATTGTCAGGCTCTATTCATAATTTTGTATCCAAGTTGATTTTTCACCTTAGTGTTTCCTTTGTAGAGATGTCAAAGCATGCTACTTCCCTATTTGAGAGGAAACGTCGGTGCCATGTTTGAAGCTCTGAAGCTGGATCAAGTCGGGCTTCTAATGTTGAAGTGACGGATTTGACGGAGGATGATCCTTCATCTCAGCATCAAGCTCAGCCTTCGGTGCCTCTTGCCACTTTGTCGTTCTGCTTGTCTCCAAGGGGTATCTACCCCATCCTCCTCTCGTGGTCACCCGAGGTCCTCTTCTCATGCGTCAGTTTTCCCATTTTCTGGCCTGTACACAACTGAAACTGATGGGGCAGCTTACCTAGAAAGGGCATTCGACCTTTGGTAAGGACTTGGTGAATCATCTAGCGGATTGAGCTTTGGATACTCAAATCCCCAGCATAGCATCAACACTTATCTCAATGATCTCCACCAGGTCAGCTACTGTAGTTATCCTCATGTATTTGAAGTAGCATATATTCTAACGCTTGTTTTTGGCCTTGGCAAATTTTTAATCGCTTGGTTGTGTTTTCGGGTAGGGTTGTTGACGAGATTAATCACCTTCGTCGCAACTATGCTCCTCGGGATGAGTTGGATCGGGCTCTTTCTTCTCTGAACCAGGTTAACAGCTTGATAGAGAATGTCCAACGTGACCTGGAGACTGAGAGGAGGAGGTCTCGGGCTGAGTTGGCCGACTTGTAAAGGAAGCTCAACGAGGCTAAAGCCCAACTCTCCAACTCTGAATTTTTTGCTGAAGAGTTTAAGAAGACCCTGGAGTATGTTAACTTGCAAAATGCTGCTACGGAATGTGGCGTCTCATGGTCTCTTTGTCAAGTCTCCAATGAACATCCCGATATCAACTACTCCTTTCTCCAAGAGCGCTTTAGAGCTGAGTGTGGTGCGACAGATGACATGGATGATGACAATGATGAATAAGGTAATAGCGAGTCGAGTTATCTGTATTGCTTTCCATTCCTTTCCATGTTTTGGAACATTGTCTGTTGTCGTTGCCATCTCATCTCCCAAATCCATGGCTTTGTAAGCTGCCAATGATATGATGTCAGCCAAGCTACCCCCATCTACTAAGATCCGAAGCACTTTTGTGTTGGCTATTTTTAAAACAATGACCAGTGCATCATTATGTGGGTGGAAGAGGTGGGTCGTCTCATCTTCTAAAAATCAATTTTGGAGGGTTGACCTGCAAGGAATGTATGATAAATTTCATGTTGCCCTAGCTTCCCGCACACTTGCCTTTCTCTTCTTGCCAGACTCTCTCTTTGTGGGACCTCTCAATATTGTCTGTATTTCTCTGGCAGGGGATTTGTTGTCGTTCTCGTTGTTCAGAGTCGCCTTGGGATCTTCTATATATTCTTTGAGGTACCCTCTCCGAATAAGATCTTCCACTTCTTCCTTGAGGTCGAAAGAGTCATGCGCGATATGGTCGTGTCTCGGTGGAAGAGGCAATATTGCCTCTTACTTCTTTTGTTTGGAGGCGCTTTTTCATCCTTTCCGGCCATCTGAGCAATCTCTAGTCTTTAATCTCCATCAACACCTGCTCGAATGGGATTATGGTCGGAGTGTATTTCTCAAACTTTCAGGGTGGATCCTTTTGGCTAGTTCGATCTCGCTTGGCCTCTACTCTGTCCCATCTCGACCCGTGTTGCTTTTCCATTGACCTTTCTCTTTTGGCACTTTGCTTGGCACGCTTTCCCTCGGGTTCTCTTTTTGAGTGAAAGAATTTCCCAGCACTCATATACTTATGGGCTCGGCTTAGCGCTTCTGAAAAGGTGCTCAGAGTTTTGTTTCCAAACGAGAATGTCAGGTGCTCATCTTTCACGCCGGACATGAAAGCTAGTAGTGACATTGCGTCAGTTAGACCTTCAACTTGTAGCTTCTCTTCATTAAACCGAGCCACATAATCCTTGAGGCTCCTTGTCGTTCTCTGCTTTATGATCAGGAGGTAGGCCGCTGGTCGACTTCGGTTTCGTCCTCCCACAAACTGGGTCACGAACGCTCTAGCCAGGTCTTTAAAACTTGAAATCGAACCCCGCTTCAATTGTCGAACCAGACCCTGGCTGAACCACTCAGGGAAAAGAAGAATACTCGGCATCTGATCACCTATGTTGCCCCATAGATGTCCATCCATTCTCGGTAGGCGTCGAGGTGATCCACTGGTTCGGTCAACCTGTCGTATTGCTTTATAACCGAGAGCTTAAACTTTGGAGGAACCTTCTCTCCCATTATTTCCTCCGTGAATGGAGAGTCTTCCTGGTCTATCAACTCTTCGAGGCTGAATCCCTTCTCTTTTTGACTCAACAACTTCTCCGATGGTTCGGGTCGATCCGTGGCTTTTCTTTGCCAGGGTTGATAAGTCAGAGGTCACCTCGTTTATCTTAAGGTTCCTTGCCCTCGTTGGGTATCAGGGACTTTGGCTGTCTCCTGTCCTGCTGTTGACCCCGCGAGTCGAAGATCTGGGTTCGTCGCCTGTTATTTCCTCCTACCTTCAGCTTGCTCTGGCCATTGTTGGTTGACTATTCGACCTCGCTCAGGACCGGAGCTTTACCCTTCCGAGGATCCCTAATGAGGGGTGGTAGGCTCACTTCCCGCTGTTCCAATTGCTGAAGTAGTTGGGACATGTGCTGATACATTCCCTCGACTTTTTCTTCCAGAGCGACAAACTTGTCCTCAGGTTGTTCAGGAATTCCAACCCTAGGGATCTCGAGCGGCTCCTCTCTACATTTTAGGTTTTGTCGATCATTTTGCTGGCTTGTCTCGCCCTCAACTCCTCCTAGTAGGGGAGCATCCATGTTCAACCTCCTCCTTGGATGGCAGTCCTCATCAGAGCGTCGTAGACTTTCTTCGGGATTCATGTTGCTTGGTCGTATGGTTTGTATCATTCCTACAAACGGTGCCAATTGTTGATGCTGAAATTTTGGTCTCTTTGGTTCTCGCCAAATATGCACCAAGCTTGATGATCACGAGACTAGATACCTGCAAAACCGAACAACCCTAAACCGGTGTGACTTTAGTCACACAGGCTCCGATGCTTAAGTCAGCGATAGGAGAATTACTTAGTAAAGTAATTAGGGCATGTTTGCTTACCTCTAGGGTTTAGCCAGTAGTTCTATTTATAAATATTCAGAAAGTTCCAGAACCTTATGAGTGAGCCCATATGATTCCTTGTTGTTGGATCGTAGGATCTCATGGGTCGGGGTATCTTAACCAACAGGAGAGAGGGGCCGAGCCCTGCTCGGTGTCGAGCAAGGATCGGGACCGAGCCCTAATCGGCTTGGTTCCCCTTTTGTCGTTGCTTGGTTGAGCCTCTCTGGTTTGTAGAGGCCCATTTCTTTGATTGTTTCCTATCTCATAACAAATAGTGATACAAAAGAAAAAGTGTACGGAGAGTCAGTTTATAGTTATTAGAATAAAAGAGGAAAAAAAAAAGAAAAAGCTACGACAAATCAAATGGCTGATGATGTGCAAATAAAGGAGGTTAGAGTGATAAATATCTTTTTCCACCAAAGTAGGACAAAATCGGAATTCGCTTTGTTTAAACCTAAAATCCTCACAAATCCTATCTATTTCGAATCGAAAATATTTGAACAAGAAACAGAATTTGAAATCATTAGGATTTCATATTATTTTTCCTTTATTTATCCAAACAGGTGAAATGATTTCAAAATCCGTTAATATCTTGAAATCCCTCCAAATCGGAGGTTCCAAATAGAGTGTTAGCCCTCGACATCCTAGTAGCATGTACCTCGCGTTCATGATATCTGTATTCAACTGTGTCTTGGAGGCCATAAACATATTTAAGTCCTCGAGAATCTTAGACGGATCAAAATTCTACATATTGTCAATTCCTCTGTGACCTGGAACAAAATCCTACATAAGCATTTCCTATTCATTATTGTCTAATTTGACTTAATGTTGGATTTGTTCCACAGAGGATCAAATATTATTTTAAATTGGATAATCTAACATATATAATTGATAAAGTTTTAGCCGTATTTCATTTGTCCCCTTCATATTGTCGAGTGGGAATTGCTCCTAGGATTAAGAGAGTGAACTTAATCAATTATAAATTGATATTATACAAAACTCATCAATGTTCACACTTTAGAACAACAAAAACGAACCCCTTTTTGAGATTCATCCTCTTAAAACTAAAAAATGTGAAAGAAGCACAAATGCTGAATGTTTAAAGTAAGAACATAAAAGAAGAAATTAAATCTAACCTTAATTAAACAAAACAAAAAAATACAAAAATACAAAAAAAAAAAAAAAAACTCAACATACAACTTAAATTTCAACATATACCTTTCATACAAGAAACTAACATATGTGAATTGATTTTTGGAAGGGTCTCACTCATGGACATCCCTCATCATCCAAACTTTGTCGTAGTCCAAGGTGAATGTCAATGCGGAGAAAGTAGATGCTCGTGCTTTTCCCTCGCTCGTATGAAATTATATGACCATGCCCCTAATAGCGTCCCTACAACTGGTCCGACCAAGTACACCCAAATCCCTTCGTAATGTGAACTTGCAATTGCAGGCCCTATTGACCTCGCAGGGTTCATCGACCCACCCGATATAGGCCTAAACATATGGTTGACACAAGTTATGAGATTATATAAATATAGATCTTTTATATACCATAAGAAAATTGAAAACCAATAAATTTATACATTTACACGCTTAAAAGAAACAAGTTTTTGAGGTATATATTTCAACATCAAAATTTGTTATTTTTGAMCTATATTACTATTTATGTCTATTTATTTTTGACCTAATAAGTGTCATACTTGTATTCAATTTATATAACTAGTATCTAATACATGTCTTTCGTGCTAATAAGTCTCTAACACGGACACATTATCAAAACTAAAGTGTCGAGGATTTGCCGAAATAGCAATCGAGATTTTTTATAGGGGGAAGGGCAAGCCAAAAAATTGTTGTCTTTCCTTACCCTGCAAAGATGGATGTGATACATACAGCTGAGCCAACTGCTATACCGGCCAACTCTCCAATCTGCCAAAATGAATTATCATCTGTTAGATGAGCCAAAAATTTATACTTCATTGGATAACTATTTTGTTTTTTTTTTCTCTTTATAACATAATTTTTAAAACTAACTTTTTAAAAGCGCTTTAAAGAAGTACATGCCAAAAGAAAGAAACACATATCTTGTAGCAGTGTTTATAGGTTTAATTTTAAAAAACAATAAAATAAAAAACTAAAAGCAAAATAGTTATCCGAGCATTGGCAATTTAAAGAAAACTGCAAAACGTTTATAAATTCTTACAGCTTTCGTGTCGGTGGCGACCGCAGAGGTGACAAACATCATAGTGAATGAGACTACAATCTCCATTAGCAGAGCTTGAAACTCTGGTCCTGAAGGTGAAGTAATGCCTATTTCTTTTATTGGATGCAATAATATGCGTAGTGAAAAGGCAGCTGATGTTGCCCCACTTAGTTGAGCAGCTGCATATAGAGGAACCTGCACAGAATCACTCAATTTAAGCACTTAATTTAATTCATGAAATGATAATATATTACCAATGTTTTAGAACTGCTTCCAATGAGTAGAATAACGGCGTTATTCGTTGATATGGTAACAACGACGATGATCTGTGAGATTTGGAACATCATCATCTTCGGTATCATATTGACACTTTCTTTTTCATTTTTTTTACGTGGGAGTTTTTTATTTGGATAGCTACATTAGTTACTTAATTGTGTTACAAATTGGGATGAATTATAAATAAAATTAGATATGTGGATTTTTTGAGAGGTAAAATACAATTTAGTGACAACTTGTTAAGATTCAACCAAATTATAGGGATCAAATTGAAATTTATAGTTTTATAGAGACCAAATTGAAACTGAGCTCAAACTATAGAGACTAAATTGGAACTTTTAAAACTATATGAATCAAAGGAAAGACTTTGCCTAAATCATAATGACCAATTTTGTAATTTAACAGTAAAAGTATCCATGGATAAACTTTTTGCTTTCTGTTAGTGGGATTTTCACAGATGATCTTGATTCTTCAGGCAAATGAACATACTCTTTCTAAATTATAAATTTGCAAATAATAGTTTTAATAAATAAATATTAAAACATTAGTCTCGTAAAGACAATTTAATTTGAACCCTTGACCTGCTTTCGGTTCCTTTATTTAGAACGAAAAAGAATTAAAGATATCAAGACGTTTTTTTTTTTTTTTTGAGGAAAATTATTTAAGAAATAATTTAATTTTTTGGAACAAAAGTTATGTGAAAATGTACTTGTATAAATATTTTTCAAAAGTTCGTACTTTTATTTTCTTTTATTGAGGCAGATGTTTTCTAATACAGACCAATCACAATTTTCAAAAATAAATATAAAAAAAAAACCTATTTCAAGTCAACATGCTTATACCAAATAAATTCCACTCTCAATTATTTGAAAATTAAAATATCTTGTCGTGACTCGTGAGGCAGCCTTCCTAGTATCAGCAGTTGTCCCCAATAAACGTCTGTCGTGGTGGTGGGACCCGTCCTAAAATATCTACCGCACACCTCATCGGGTCCTTTTCACACGTGGCACTAATCTTACTTTTTCTTTTTTCTTTTTGTGATGAGGTGGCACAAATCATACATCATCACAACTAAATTTTCATTTATAAATAATAATTAATTCCGACCCATCCAATAAAATATGCACACTTAAAAATTGAAATAAATAAATAAAAATATATTCAATTGTTCAAGTTGTTTTCCTTCACCGTTAAGGTTGAGAGCAAAGCAATAATTCACACACACCCTGAACTTCAAAGACCATATTTTGTTTTAGTTCTCAATTCTTTAATGTACTATTATTTAAATTACAAACTTAAAAAATATTTAATAATTTTCTAAAATAAAATTTAAAAAAATTTATATTTAGGTTGAAAGCTCTCTGTTTTATTTTCCTAAAATAAGGAGATATTATCTACCATAAAATTTAATATGTATTTTTAAAAAATGGAACAATTTTCATTTTTTGGATTATACTATTTTTATAGAATCTTTTGCTATCAATATAAATATCTAATAAATCTGCAAATTTTAATTTATATTACTAATAAGTCTAAGTCTCTTTTAGCTTTCATAAAGGTGTATAATTGGACCTAATCAAAAGTTAATTTAAAACCTCGTAGACTAATATTAAAATTGAAGTAAATACTAAAAAGTGGAGGGATAAATTGGGAAATGGAGAAAAAGGGTTTTGGGAGGACCTGTTTCCATGGAAAACGTCGAACGGCGGCGAAGGCGAAGGTGACGGCGGGGTTCATGTGGGCGCCGGAGATGTGGCCGACGGCGTAGATCATGACGGTGACGATCATCCCGCCGGTGAGGGACGCTCCGAGCTTGGAGACCTGTCGTTCGTCGATGGCGCTCAATGCCGCCGCCCCGCACGTGACAAACACCATCAAATACGTGGCTATCACCTCCGCCAGCAGCTGCGACGACACATCGGAAAATTAATAAAAGAAAAATGGAGAGAAAAATTTGGAAAAATGGATATTGATGAGATGATGAGTACCTTTCTGGAGAAGTCGGGCGGGCAAATTTGGCGGAAGAAGAAGAGGGATTCGGTTTCTTCTTCGTCATCAGAATTACAAGTCCAGTCCAGTAATTTGGGATTCTCTGCGTCTACGCCCATTTTGGTGGATCTAAATTTCTCGAAATTTGGATAATAGATTTTAGTAGACAATGGTAAATTAAATGTTTGTTTATTTATTGGGTTTGAAATTGTTTTTGAAGATAAGATTTTGAGAAGGGCCACTTGGAGTGGCCCCTCGCAAGTTGCAATAAAGTGGCTTTCCTCTCAGTTTACTACAGGGTAAAGTGAGAAATATGGGCCAAGTGGGAGGAACCAACCCCACTCGCGAGAGAATGAAAAAGAAAAAGGAAAACAGAGAGAAAGTCACGTGACTAAAATAAATTATTTTTCTGTCCAAATTTGATCAGTCGAGAGGGTCTCTACAGAGTAAATCGAAATTTAGGGAACCTTGAGCACTCATTTCAGCCCATCTATTTCATGTTAAAGTTGTAACACGAAACCTTCAAATAGGGCACTTCACTCTGATATCGTATTCTAGCTCAATCTACATACTAAGGTCGGACTAAAAAATGACTTAAGCATCAGGTTTGTACTCTTGTACAGGTCTTTCCTTACAAAGTGGTCTTTCAGCTTATTCTAGACACTTCAACTCATTCCAATAAGCTTATCTTCCTCTTCAGCCGGTCATTGTTGGAATTAATTTAATAATTAATTCATATGTGGGTAACAAATCAAAAAGCAATTATATTTGGGCTATTTAATGGCCATACAAGTGATCTTAATTATGAGCCATGACTTCCCATTTAGTGGTGTGGCTTGTTGAGTAGAAACCAGCCCATTAATCCTAGGGGATTATGGGAAACCCTAGGATTAACCTATAAATATATGGTTATGGTCCCCAATACACCATGCTTCTTGAGCCTTCTGTTCCCCATCAAACAGAGAGTATTGCTCATATTCGGTCTGGGTTGCATAGTTGAGGAAGACCACAAACCACAACTTCTTGCAGATCGTGGTCAATCTATCTAATGGTTTCAGGTAATTCTAATCTCTTTATAGATTTTGGTTTTCTTCCATGCTTAGATCYTTGGCCTTGATTRTTCTGGAATTTTATGGCTTTTGTTTTAGAATAATCATGAATTAGGGTTTATTTAATTTTTCCAACAAGTGGTATCAGAGCAAGTTTTGCATGGATGATTAGATCTTTGGCCTTGATTGTTTTGGAATTTTATGGCTTTTGTTTTAGAATAATCATGAATTAGGGTTTATTTAATTTTTCCAACAAGTGGTATCAGAGCAAGTTTTGCATGAATGATTACTGGATCTTTAAGAGTTAAGTTCATTGTTCTTTTAATCACTTATTTATTTAAACAAAAAGTTATTAAAATTATTTGGATTGATAAGATGTTTGAACAATTTTCACATGATTAAAATTCTTAATTGATTGAAAATTGTTCGAATTTATCCCTRACTAATTTGATAAAGTTTATTTTTTTTATTAACAAATTAGTTGTGACGGTGAATCTTTAGTTTTCATTAAAAGAAAAATTAAAGAAATTGCGGCACTCCAATAAGGTGTCATTTGAAAGATAAGGGTTGATGCATGGAGATAATGCCTTAGCACCGACTATTTTTAAATGTTGCAGTGCGCAAACTTACATATGTTTTTTTTGCGGCTATTTATTTAATTTTTAATAATTATTTATTTAGTTATCAATTTATATTCTGTTTTGAATATTCTGGAATTTAAATATGGAGGTCAATTTAATTTTCCTTTTATGTTGTGCTAATTAAAGATTGTTGATTATGGTGAATAAATTAACAATTTAATCAATACTTTGCACAATTTTTATATTTCTATGAAGTTTTGATTTAGAAATATTATTGTTAATTGTTGAAAATAACTTAGGTATTTTATTTTCATATGGAAACAATTAATAATAATTAAGTTATAATTTTGTGAGATTTGAGTATTGTTGTTTATGCGAATTGTGATCGGCCCAAATGAAGGTCATAATTTGGCCAAATAACAAATACACTTACAATTGGAATCAATTATTGATATTAGATTATTGTGCTGCAATTAGTGCTCCATAGTCTATGTTGAATTGTTGACGAGTTATAATATCAATAATATTCCTTTTGGGAAAATCTAGTTTTTATTTTTTTTATTTCTGGATTTAATAAATTGTTTAGAGGACTTTTCCCATTATTAAATTATGCATATAAAGATGTTATTATTAATTTTGAAAATAATTTTGGTAGTTTTATTTTCATAAAGATAAAATTAATAATAATTAAAGTTATATATTCTGCATAATTGTCTGATTTCTGATATTGATATCTTTCAAAATTATCAGATGTTTTTGGATCTGTGTATTTATGCACTCTGTAGTCGGCCCAAAGGAAGACTTCAGTTTGGCCAAATAACAGGTCCACATATAGTTAGATGGTGATAAACATGGATAATATAAAGTTATGTCATGTGAGTGATTGCCGGCCCAAAGGAAGGCTTTCACTTGACATGATTGATTATCAATGTTTGATCACCACATGGAGAGTACCACTTGCAAGTTGATATTGTCGGCCCAAAGAAAGGCTATCAATGTTGTGTTAGGTATCTTGTTGTCCTCATTGAGTTTAATTATAAAGTATTTTTATAAATACTTAAGGTTAATTTCGAGCATGTTTTATTATTGAATTAATTATTGTTAAATATTATTTAATTGCCTTACTGTGTATTTAAGAATAATTT